TTTTCATACATATTTATATTTATATGTCTATGGGCGCGACAAAGTAACGAAAGAGAGCGTGAAAAGAGCACTGTCTAAATTAACGCCATATAAATATGTATGTTATAATAATTACAGCGCGCGCCTTGGTGTGCATAGCAATATGGCGTTACTTTATCGCAACCTCGATAAACACCGAACGCCGGCCGGTCGTGGAGGGGTTAAATGTGCTAACATCAATCCTTAACCTTTTAATACTATCGTATCGTCGGGCTGGTCGGCTGGTTCTGGCTGGTTGACTAGCTGGCTGGTAGCCCTGATACGGGATAACTATCCACTCATCGTCCGGCGAAACAATCTCGGAGCCACCTACGGCTCTTTTAGCGTGCCCGAGACACGCACGAGTACAAATTGGGATCCGCCGGTTGTTTGACAAATTTCGTCTAGCGCCGCGGGAGAGATCTTCTAATATCCCGATTATCTTTCTCTCTCCCTTTCCTTTTTTCTCCTCTTTATCCTTCTCTCTCTCTGTTTCTCTGTCTTCCTCAGCTGCCGCGGACCTTCCATCACGACGGGCCGTCTCGTTTCATCACCACGAGACCTAGTTGGTCCGCCACGTAGTCGTCGAGCACGTCGGTCGCGCTCAGATATTCGTTCCACGAGTACATTGGACACGAACGGACGAACGAGCGAGCGAGGGAGCGAGTGAGCGCGCGTATTCCTCGTCCACGAATACGAATGCAAGCTAACCGTGCGCAATGGGGAAACGTTTGTACTGGAGCGTGGAGAGTACACACGGAGTACCTACTCGCGGGGATAGAGACGGTGGTTGGTAGGACGAGAGGAGCCTACCTCCGCCGAGAAGAAGGTACCGCTATCGCCCTCTGACCTCTCGAAGCGAGCGAACGAGGCCTCCTTCCACCGGCACCGGTAATTTTGCCTTCGATTCCCGGCTTCCTGGTGCTACCCAGATCTAGATCATCGAAAATCCGACTTCGGTCGCGCTCGTGACGCCTCGTTTTTATCCTGATGTCGGGTAATCGCATAGTACGACGCTGCCCCCCCCCCCCACTTTTTCTCTCTCTATCTCTCTTTCTCGTGAATTGGCTCTTTCTCGTGAATCGACTCGAAACTATCGTTTGATTTAATTAGACTTTGAACACACGTCTCGACATGTAATTCACTTTTACCACTTGACGGAAATAATCTGTCGTAGCAATTACAAAAATTTTTCAGAAATAAAATTAACGTTGAATAATTTGTATTACACGTTTAACGTTGATTGGCGGTTATCGGTAATGTACGTTCGAATAATGGGTTTATCTAATGATACAACTACGAAGAGAGGGAGGAAGGGAGAGAGAGAGAGAGAGAGAAAGAAAGACGGAGAGAAGGGGAGAGAAGTGGAGGAGAACGGTGACGTTTATCGTCCATACATATAAAATGTAATTATGTCCCCTTGATTATATAAAAGACACGACGGGCGATACCAAGCGGAACGAGCCGAAACAGGATCCGCGAGAGCAGGCTTTTAAAAGTATCTTACGGAGGGACGATAAGTTTCTGCCGGCGCACAAAGAACCATCCGCAAATTAACGTCCAAGAAAATTGCGGCCCGATACTCGCGATACACACAGGACGCAATTATATCTCCCAATTATCCGAGGAGTTGAAGTGATTTCTGTTCTTATTCCTTTCCGCTTAATTGTACCTAATGCTTTATCACTCGCACGTTACTTCTTGTTCGAAATCAATATCGTTCGACGGTCGCATTACGCGCGATGGCGTCTTAACGGTAAGCTGAAAACGCCGGCCGACGGTTACGATTATTGTGTGCACTCGTGAAAATTGCAGTCGTCCGCGCGTGGGAAAAAAGCGGCCGTTTGATATAAGTATCGTTAAACGGGCCTCAGTGCGCGCATTCCAACACGAGGAGCGAGATCGCCGCGGTGTGCGAGAAAAAGGCGCGCGCGCGGCGCTAGGTCGCGGCGTTAGGCGAATTCGAAACGAGAAACCGTTTCTTAGGAGAGAATTATTCAAATTGCCGATGAACCCCGGCGACTCCGGCGGAGAGCACTCCGCTCCGCGTATTGTAACAAGTACGTAGAAGCCGAGAGAGGAGCAGCTACCTACGTAAGGGGAGTCGGATGGTGTAGGAAATAACGTCGTGGGATCGTCGTCGCGCACGATCAAGGTTTCACCGTGATGTTTATAAGCGGTGCGTCCGCTTAGAAGCGGGAGAAAATAGGTTCTCGACGACGTAATGTATTTGGGTCAGGATTCGAGATAGACGAAGAAAGAGAGGAGAGACGAGGAGGAGGACACAGTCCGTATACGTACACGACAGTCCCACATCCTGCCGCGAAGTGCATTCCGTGTATCCTCTTGAGCGCATCCTGCGAGTGACGCTCGCAGGTTCTGAGATAACGGTCGTCGATGGAACCGGAAATATGAGAGTAAGCATCGTGGCGCGCTATCGCCGCGAGATTACAGTGATTAATCCTTAAGCGGACACGCGACACTTAATTTGATTACGGTCTATTCTTTGGGTACTGTTGCCATTGTTTGAGCTTGCGCTCGTGAGTAATGTTTCTGTCGTAAATACAGCGCAAATTACGACGGCGGAGCGCCGCGATATCAGCCTCGGATGCGTGCAATTATCCCGCATTGTTGAATTTTTCCGAAATTCATTGTTTGCACAACAGCGCTCCGGCCGTGGTAACGCGAGTGCACGATTAATAATCGACATTTGCCGCGGCGAGCACGACGCGTAATAACGCGAGCGCTGCGAACGATGTCGCGCGAAACCAAAACGGGACCTGGCCTTTAAAAGAGCATCTTACGAACACTCGGGGAACGATTGCATCTTTCCGGCATAAAGAACCCGCGGCGAATTAACATTCGCCCGCTCGGTCAATATTTCCGGTCGTTCGAACGGTGCCGATTATCCGCGAGTCGGTTTTCAGATTCCCAGGCACGCCCGCGTAAGGGAGGACAATTTCGAATCAGCATCAGCGAGAAAAGCGATGCCAACGACGCACGGATCGCACGATTAAAACACGCTTCTTCGCCGGGCGGTAAAAACGCGAGATGTGAGACGAGACGAGGCGAGGAATCACGTCGAGGGCCTCTCGTCGAGCGCGATGTACTTACGCGGACATTATGGGCCTCGGACGGCGGAGCTCGCGGAAGGAAAAAGGAAACAGCACAGCGAGATAGTAGAGGTAGGGGAGAAGGGAGTTAGGATCGGCGAATACATCCGTTCGTTTTAATCGCTAATCACCAATTACGCGAAACGTCCCGCGCCCAAAACCCGCAGAAGCATTTTAACGAGCCGCCGTGTCGCCCGGCTCTGGAATTTTACTTCGGTCCGAGGCCCGACGACTTCCACCGCGCTCAGACGGGCACCCACGGTGTGTTCAGGATATATCTCTCGTCCTCTCCATCGTTGCCCATCCCGCTCGCACCGTCGTCCACTATCTCGCTCCGGTCGGCGGACCGACCGTGTGCGTGTGCCCGTACCAATTAGTGCATACTTCGGCTCTTGGTGTTCGAGGGCCCTCAGAGTGGAGCCCCCTGGGGTCCTTCGGGGTGCCGCTGCCGTCGAAATTTGCGGAATGGGACCGCCGGTCCCCGAACGACCGAGAAATCTCGTTGATTCGTGGGATTAGTCGTCGCCGGCGCGACGATTGATTCTCTCGAGCGTGCGGGGTAGCACCAAGGACGGCGGACGTCGCTCGGTTCGCGGATAAGAAGAGAAAGGACGGAATCATCGTATATCGCAGCGACGATGCGAGCAACGTAAGATACGCGAATGCTAATGATAAAGATTTTTTATTCACAATCGCGATGTTGCGCGCGACAGATCTCTCTTACGGACTCTGAGGACGAAAAGAGTGCATGGGCGTAAACGAGAGTCGCTTTCCCCTTCCTCTAGATTTTGGCAGAAAGAAACAATTAAATTGTGAAAATTATAAGAAAATATAACTGATATATTACATCCGACCGAAAGTTACGGTATATGTTTTGTAATTAAATGTGCACTAAATGTGTAAATCTCGAACTGCCTTCCCCTCGTTTTATTCTCTCGTTCTCTCGATCGAGAGAGATTCGACACCGCCGTCGATTCGCGGCGGGGCAGGCGGATCGTGCATCTCGCGGGTACACGCGAAACTCGTGGGCGTATATACGTCGAATTACTCTTTCTAATGAGGAACACACGGAGGTATGAATTTGCGAGGGTGTCGTGTCTTCCTCGCAGGTTTTCGTAACGGTTTTCTGGCGGCGTCTTTCGCGCCGTAGAGTTTAAGTATACACCACTGTGGGAGCTAAGTAATAACTGCCAATGGAATTAGAAACGCCGAAGAGTCGCGGATAGTAGATGGGATGTACGTGACCGTAAGTTGATAGTTTTTTTTTCCGCCGTCGCGCGTCGATGACGGTGCGCGAGCGCGTGTGCACGTATATGCACGCGGAAGTGGAAGAGACCCGCACGAGGCGGGTATTTAAAATCTTACCTCGGGAATGCGCGCGTGCGTTGAGAAACATTTCGTACGTAACGTCGATTGAATTAATCTCCTTCGATCGCTATCTCGTCTCGTGCGCTTCCCTCGGCGAAATCTAATTTGCGAAGCCTAATTTATGGCACGTAATAAGCTTCAACCAAACGGAGCGGCGGTTGATTTTGCGCGCTGCTTGGCGAAGAGAGAAAGAGAGAGAGAGAGAGAGAGACAACACATACGAATTAATCGAATTAATCGACAATTATCGCGTTGATTTACGCGGAACCGCGCAGCTCGACTGTCACTTCTCACCTGTCAACCATCCGTGGCATTCTCGAACCTCCAAATTTTCGGTGAAAAATTCCGCGAATCGTCTCGGGACAGTTCCGGATCCTCAAGACTTCCGGCACGAAGTTCCCGCGATTCGTCGCGACGGAAATGCCGGGACGACCCGCGTCGAATCCACCTTAACCGCAGATACGACTCAATTCGCCGCGAGAAACCGCCTCGAGTCACGTCATGTCCTGCTTCGGCGGCCACGACGAGCAGATCTACCTAATCGAGATACTGATCGATAGACTGACGTTAACGCCCGGTAAAATCAAAGACATCGGCGGGCACCCTATCGTGATCAAGATCAAGCTGTTAGATCTGCCCGTGTTCGAGATCACGCGCGATCAAACGGACGCGTCGAAGGCAGAATTGCCGCAAGACGGCAGTGTGCGCTTCGCGGCCGGCAAATGTTGCCTGTTCGTCAAGCAACCGCGCGATCTGGTTCGCGATCTTCGTTCGACGAGCCTGAGAGCCGGGGTGTTTCGCGCGGATGACACTTATCCCACGGCCGAGACCGAATTAACACTGCCAGGCTGCCTGTGCGATCAGGTCGCCATGATCGGCAACGACCCCGGCAACCTGCCGAGGCCGTTCACGGTGAAGGGGGGCTTCCATCTTCTCGACCCGGGCGAGAATCCGTCCGGCACGCTGCACATGGAGCTCACAATCACGTGTCTCGGACGTCTCTACGCGACGCGCCACGAACTGCACCCCAAGTCCCCCGTTCTCGCCGAGAGTGAGGATAAGGAACGGGAGTTGTATGTAAAGCGTTATGTACCGCCCGAATTTCTGCCCCAGAAAGAAGCGTTGCCGGAGGTCGCCCCGATAGTAGAAAAAGCGAAACCGGAGAAAGCTAAAAAGGGAAAAGGCAAGAAGAAGAAGAAGAAATAAGGTGGCGAGTGACTTTTGCCGAAGCACTGTGTGGACGTTTTCCGATGGCTCGCGAGAAAGACGTTTGCGCTCTGAAGTGCGATTCTACGTGTTCGTTGAACGATTATTTTCGAGACTCGTCACCGTGACGACCGTCCGACAACTGGGAATGTCAGTTGACTTCGAGGCTTTCACGCACACGCGCAGCGATATCGTTCGACTTCCGGCCCCCCGAGGCATTCGCCCAAAATTAATGGCGCAATTCGGGCAGAGACATCGTTAACATCGATTCGCGTTCGCTCTCCAAATTTACCGTATGCCCGGCGACTCGTGTGACTCCAATCGCAGAACATGGCCCTGAAGAAGAGGAAAATCTGCAAGTCGGAAGCGGATCAGTTGTACATGCTCGAGATTCTCGTCGAGCGCGTGGATCTGTGTCCCGGGAAACAGCTCGACGCCGAAGACCTCGATTGCCTGATGGTGCGCGTAGAATTCATCGATCTCACGCCTGTCGATATCACCGCCGAGGAATTTATCAAGGCTGCCAGAGGTGAAAGATGTAAGAACAAAGAAAGTCGCTTGCTCGCCGACCAGTCGGGTAAATCGTGCCTGTTCACCCGTGCGCCGAGCAATTTAATACGATCTATAAAATCGACTCCTCTGAGTGTCGAGGTGTATCGAATTCCCCGGATGAAGGACCGTAATTCGTGCGACGACGGTTCGATTCTTCTTTGCGCGGCAACGGCATTTCTGCCGAGATGTTTCGCCGATCGAGTGGCCGAGGCCAAGGGCAAGATGGACGGGCTATCGGAGCCGTACACGCTGAAGAAAGCCTACACGTTGACCGACGAGCGAGGCTTTCCTTGCGGGTCCGCGTCGATCCACTTGAGACTGTCGTGCTTCGGGAGTTCTATTATCGACCATTTCACGTTTCGCCAAAAATCATTCGTACTTCAAGACTTTCCTCTCGGCGAGAAATTTCGCTGCGTGAGACAATCCGACAAGAGCGCGATCGACGATACGTTTCCGTCGAGCGAGGTTCCAAGAGCCGCGTATTCCGAACCACACGACCAAGAGGACGCGAGTTCCGCGCCGTTAACGAGACCGCAGTCAGCGCCGCGTGTGTCGATGGACCAACCGGGATTCGAGAAGCTGACAAGCGCTGAGAAACTTAACGATCGCAGATACCGCAGTCTGGTATACGCGGCTTATCCCGACGAGCCTACTTGCTCGTGCTTGCCGACGAACCGCTCGACGCATCCTCTTATGTGTCGTTCCGGATGCCTCCGCTCTTGCTGCATGGCCCTACGAAACCCCGATATCCTCCAAAACAACGTACCCGTGCTCTCTCTGCCTGCCGACCATGTGAGCGATCCGTCAAGTGGCGTTGGAGACGACACGAATCCTTCCGACGATCCCACGAGGATGAGAGGCGGCGGGGAGAAGGAAGATATCCGCTCAAAACACGTCGAGTTAGCGACGTGGAGCGGCGAGTACGCGCGGCACGGAGATAATATCAACTTGAAGCAACGTTTGATGGGCGGAAGCGAGTATCCGCCATCCGAAATGGTTACCACCGTCCTATACGAGAAGAACAAGGAAACAAGTGCAGGCACGACGTGCAGACCCCGTCCGAGGTCCGCGGACGGGGTCATGACGGGATGCACTTGTCCGGGGAAAGACCCGTTGTCCGGCAGAACGGGCACGATAAAATGCGCGAAGAAGCCATGCGTGGGTGCGGACTGCATGATACGTGCCTTCAGAGAGGCCCAGGACTTTGTGAATTCCCTCGACAAGGTGCTCGGGATGACGGGTCTCGGTTTGATGGACCCGTCCGACAGTCCTTACTTCGGCCGAGGTTACGGCGCTCAGGATATGCCGAGGAGAGGGTATCCCGCGGCGGTAGCAACAACATCGCCGAATCTGCAATACACCGCTCCTTGCACTCAGACCGGCGGTGCTACCGCATTATCCTACGCTCCCATCGCCGCCGCCGCGCCGGTACGCGGCGGAGTCGTGCGCGAGGCGATACCTATGTTACCGGAAACGCCGTTGCTCCCGCTGAAGCCGAAGAAAAAAGAGGACAAGAAAGAGGAGAAAGCGGAGAAGCAGAAGGAGGCGGACGTCGCGGCAGCCGCGCCGTCGGACGTCGAAGTTGGTCCATGCGGTGAGGCCAAGTGCAAGTCGTCTCGACGGAAGACACCCGGTAACGGCCGGTCGGAGAACGGCAGCGATTCGCATAAAAAGGAAACGGCGCGGTCGAAGTCATCGCCGAGTTCCGTTCCCGTGAAGAGCGTCGCCAGTAATCCCGGTGAACGGGCGCGACGTCCGAGAAACAAACCGAACCTGGGTGCCGGCGGTGATCGCGATGACGGAAAAGTCCCGCCCGTCAAGGCCAGCAAACGAGTAATGCGCTACGTTTACACGATCGGCGAGGTTTACCCCGGCATCAGTTACGGGCACAAAAACTGCGTAGATCCGCGAATGCGAGTGCCGGCGAACATGGGCTGGTTGTGGAACACGACCGACACGGCGAGCAAACTAAAGCCGCGGATCGGCTGGAGGCCGGGCGCGATCGGACATTATCTGTACGAGTTGCTGAAGGAGGCTAAGGGCTCTCTGGTGGAGGATAGTCGAGCGAGGTCGGTGCCCTCGCGCACCGCCGTTCGCCGCGGCAAAGCGTTCAAACCCATGGGCTACGCGTCGGCGAAGGAGGGCGAAGTGGAGACGGAGCCGCCGCCGACCCTGCATATTCATCGGAAGGACGGTACTTACTACGTGACCATGTACCCGATCAAGGGGGAGACGGCGGATGACACGCCGCGGCTGGAGAAGCCGACGAAGCCGCTGCAATTGAAGATAACGCGAAGTCGGAACGACGCGTCCGTCGCGTCGAGCTCCACCGCGTCGGACATGGAGCTCGAGTTCTCGCCACCCGCGGCGGTCAACAGGTACCGGAAGAAGCCGGACGTGGTGCACGTGGACACCCAAGTGAGACAGCAGGAGATATTGGACGCCCTCAAGCCGCCCGAAACTCCCAGAGCGAAGAAGGAAAAGAAGGGAAAAGAAAAGAAAGAGAAGGAAAGGAGGGAAAAGAAGGGGAAGAAGTAGACGAAGTCGTCGCGATTACCGACGCGATCGCGAGAGAGAAGTGGTGATCCTAATAACGGTTGATCGTGAAAATCATTCGCCTCGAGAGAAGGACGAAATGATCCGCTCGTGCCTTTCATATCGATGTTATTCGTCGACGAAAACGGAAATGTCGTACGCGTTCGTGTGTGATCTACCTTTAATTTCATCCGAACCTTGTCAGGTAGATCGGAGTCGGTCGTGGATGTAAACCGAGGATGTATCTTTATCGGTAGGAGAAAGAATCGCGTACGTTCGATACCGCGGCTTGCATCGTTGATAAAACGCACATCGGCGTCTCGTAATTCAACATTGTCTCAAGACATTCAATATGGCTGAGTGTGCTTAAAACTAACCTTGCCTGAAACTTTGTTGAATATTGTATCTTTAAACTCACCGAGAACAGGATTCATTGCGCCGATCGGAAGAGCTCCATATAACTTGCGTCCAAAATGTGAATCGGGAAGAACGTCGCGTCAAATTGACCGAATATCGCGAAGAGCCGGACAACGCGCGATACTTCATTATCGTTAATCGGCGACATATTTTAAACTATCTCAACGAACTTCGGCGTTTGGCCTCGTACTACGTGCGCCATCTGTAGTCAGCGCGCGGTAAGATTTGTCACTTTGCCGAACGCGGCCATTGTATTTTGGCAGGGATAAAGGTGCTCGGAGGGTATCTCGTGATATTTGACGTTTTCGAAGGTAGAGATGAATGTTAAGGCACAGGACGAGAAGAACACGGTCGTGCGCGAAAAGTTGCTCGATCTACACGACGTTCACATAGGAGAGGTTCCGCGGGACTCGCCGTGGTTAAATACCGTGCGCGTACACTACACGCAAGTCGGTCGGCGCAAACAGTGGGATGTGATTAAGGTTCACGACAGTGTGAGTATAATAGTTTTCAACATCACTCGGAAGAAGCTCGTGTTTGTCAAACAGTTCCGGCCAGCAGTATATTACTGGTCCTTACCAGAGAAACAAGACAACGTCGATGTCGACCGTTATCCTGCAACTTTAGGATTGTCCCTGGAGCTCTGTGCTGGTATCGTGGACAAGGAAAAACCTCTGGTAGAAATAGCAAAGGATGAGCTGAAGGAGGAATGTGGCTATGAAGCACCTGTATCTGCGTTCAGCCAAGTTATTACCTATAGGTATTATATAGTATTCAATAATTTTCATATTAATTGTGACACCTATCTTTAATTCACCTATGTTCGAGAAAAATACAATAAGCGCGGAAGTAATAATCTCTGGTATAATTTATATGTTTTCTATAGTAAAACCTGTGTTATATTGTATACAGAATTGTCACATCTAATGAAGAAAATATATCTGGAAGAAGAGTTAAGATATATTATATCTGTGATGTTTCTTTCAGATCTAGTGCTTCTGCCAGTGCAAAGCAAACACTCTTCTATGTGGAAGTCACAGACGATATGCTCATACATCCTGGTAAGTTTAAATTTAAATATGTTCCAGTTATCTCTTATAGTTATAGAAATACAGTTTTAAAGAACAATGTTTTTAGTAATATTATCAATAAATTAATACGTGTGGTATAAGCGAGAATTCCTCAATTTGTCCAATTTGAATCTGTTGTCATACTAGGCGGTGGTTCCGAGGCCGAAGGTGAGCTCATAGAAGTGGTCGAATTTAGCATTCCAGAACTGAAGAATTATATGAATTCCAAGGATATAAAGAGTCCCTCTAGTTTCCTCTTTGGCATATCCTGGTTTTTACTTAACAAATCTGAGTACTGTCTTTAGATTAAAACGAAAAAAAACGCAAAGATTTTTCTGTTCTACTTTATCTGGAATATAAAGAACTATAAGTTATATGAATAAAAACTAAGATCTCTGAACGGCAGTTTCAAATTAATTACCAGAGAAAAATCAGTGCTACCATTCGGTTGAGTTTATTTAAAATAAAGCATATGTACATAAGCAGTCACGCGAGATATTTGCATAATGTAAATTATGCAAAATCACAAACTGGCACTCAATTGCTCAGTTCGTCTTTTGTGAATTGGGAGCTGACCCATGCAAGGCCCCACTTTAAATTTGTTAGTAAAAATTTCAAAGCCTTGGTCCATTGTTCCTCTGAGTTGAATTGTATCCTGTCAAAAGAGGATAGAAATGCTGAATATATTTTTCGCACTGACAAGTTTCATACAAGCATAGATCATAATACAGATATAGATGAATATAATCAAACGCAGATTTTCTATCACAGATCAAGACATCCATGTTTATGTACATATACCAAAACGTACTTTATAGAGTAGGAGTTGCCCGTCGCGGTGTCTTCTATTTTACCACGATCCATTCTGTATGGTAGGCAAAAACCGCTGTCTCCTTTTTCTACTTGTTCCTTAAATTGTTGCAAACAGTCCAGAAACGCCACCATAGCCGCGTCGAATTTTGTATCCCACAGGAACTTGAATCCGCCACTTCCATATAACGGAAGTTCCTTGTTTTGATCCAACGCCTCGATGTAACTATGATTGCCAAATGGCACTAGTCGGAAACGCTTAAACGTCAAGTTCATTTTGCGCGCAAGAGACGATAGTAGAAGCGTCGTTTGTCCCCATGCCGCATTTATTTCGCTCCAGTCTACTGGAACACTTGGTAATCGACCTAGTCGGAACGAATTGATGGTTCCAAAGTGACCCGAATGCCAGATATGGAATGTGGCGTTAAAAACGTTCGTTTTCTTCAGCCTCTCAAGCTGTGAAGCTGCGTACGCTAATTGGCATTCCAGACTGAAAAAAATACTCAATTTTAGATAAAACAATAGTGGGAGGATGAACGATTTAGTAAGCAATTATTTTGCTCCTACGTGTCGCGTCAAGCGTATGCATCAATGTGTATCTATTTTTGTAAAATATGAACTCTTTTTAGGGAACTTCATTCACCTGCGACATTCGTCTTCAGCTAAGAGGACATCCCGTTTGTGCTTAGAATATTCTTTCCAGTACCTTTCCTCTTCACTTTGTAATCTCTCCCTTTCTCTCTCCTGTTGCGCTATAGCATTTTTAGTAGCTATCTCCTCTTTCCTCAATGCCTCCAGCTCTCTTATCATTCTTTCTTCTTCGGACTGTACATCCTGCAATTCCTTTGCTAGGTTCTCCATCTCCACATCCTCGTGTCCTTGAAGTTGCTGTTCTATTTCTAGTTTTTTCAGGTACTCATTGTAATCCGACCATTCTCCTTCTGTCATTCTTAATTGCTGATCCATTATAACCAACAGGCCATCTGTACACTCATCACAAAGAGGATGATCTGCTGAACTGCTACTGCTGAGAATGTCAAATAATGTTGCTCGTACCTGGAAAGCATACTAGAGATCAGAGATTGGAGTTATACATATACATTTTGCTGCCGTGCTTCTCTCTACCTTTAGATGATGACTTAAGCTTTCAGTTTCACCGGAATCACCAACCAACATGAATCCATTTGTACCATTTCCTGATTCAGTTAATCTGAATGGCGGTACTAAGTGTTCTATGCTATCGCTTTGGGTTTCTAATCCTCCGACTACTTGCTGCTGTATAGGAACTGTAGTAAAACAAATGATTATATATTTGCTCTAATATCAAAGCAAGTGTCAAATGATATTACCAATACGAAATAGAAATTACCTACGTGAAAGTTCGGCAAGCGTATGCTCCCCGAGATGATCGAAACTAGAGTCAAGTCTAAGTGGCTGTAAACACCGTTGGCACGCAAAGCTCACGTTCGTCTTCATGTCCACCATCGTGTTGATTATTATCGAGGTGAACCAAAGGGAATAGTTCACCGCACAATCCTACCAGAGTGCGTTGTTATTTACGAATACACGACGCATAAAACAAGGCGCACATGATATATAGTTAATCAGCTGTAACAAACAGAAAGCGGCCATTCCGTAGGTCATTTCAGGCGACGCGTCCTCCGAAAAAATGCGTTTAAACTACGTCCGATATACACACCTTCCCAGAGTACGCTTCGGAAAATGCATCCCCTGAAACTCTTACGGGATGGCTGCTCTCGGGTTTCTCTTTGTAGTAATTTACGGTCTGTTGTGAAAAGTATACGAGTGGCCAACGGCTTGCCAGGCGTCATCTAGCAGCAACGTGTAAAACCCTTTTGACAAATGTTTCGAGAGAACTTGCTATGAGATGATTAGATCGCGCATGGAATTCACTTTTGATATGTGAAAGAACGCCATCTAGCCGAGCAGATACGCATTCCAACGACTCGAAATTACCGCGAACTGGCACGATCACGTGATGATTTCAAATAGTTCAACACGGCGATTTTCAGTTATGGAACGGCTCATAACGCGATCGGACGGGCGTGCGCATGCTGTTCCGTATTTCTCGCGATTCCAGCTCACCTAAGGTAAGTTTCGCGTGAATTGCGTCGGGAGTGCCGAAAATAAAGACCGTGCGTGTATCAGGACCAAATATCGTCCGATACTTCACGATTCTCGTTTGTCTCAGAATTGTTCGGAGTATTGAGTGAGATTCGTATGCATCCATGTTGGAAAATCGCGATCGTCAAATTCGTGACGATGCTCAATTACGGAACGAATCGCGTCGGGACAATGTGGATTCGTGGAATCGTTCCGTGTTTTTCGCGATTCCTACTAGCCCAGGATGAATCTCGTGCACGAATCATCGTCGGGAGTGCATTCGAAAGCATCGTGTATCAGGACTATATATCGCCCGATATTTCTCGTAAGCCTTTATCTCATAGAATGTGCGTCCATATTGGGAATCGTCAAATTTGTGATACGATGCTCGGTAACGGAACGAATCGCGTCGGGACAATGCGGAATCGTTCCGTGTTTCTCGCGATCTCGACTCGCCCAGGACGAATCTGGTGCTCGAGTCATCGTCGGGAATGCTGAAAGTGAGTATCGTACGTGTATCAGGACCAAATATCGTCCAAAATTTCTCGTAAGCGTTTGTCTCATGGAATGGGTTGTTACGAATACCGAGTGAGATATGTATGTGCGTCCATATTAGAAAATCACGATCGTCAAATTCGTGACGCGATGCTCAGTAACGGAACGAATCGCGTCGGGACAATGCGAATTCGTGGAATCGTTCCGCGGTTCTTGCGATCCCTACTCGCCCAGGACGACTCTGGTGCTCGAGTCATCGTTGGTAGGGCCGAAAGTAAATCTCGTGCGTTTTCTCCTGTGTTGACAATTACTGTCGAACCGGAATGCGTGCGTAAATCGTGAAACGGACTGCTGGAATTGCCGAATGAGAGTACGCGCGTAAAAATGGCTTCCATAGTTGGTGAAGGTTACTGCTCATGTTTACTCGCCGAAGGAAAAATGGTAAGTGTCGATTAAACAAAGATACTACAACAGATATTATTGCGAAAGAGAAAAGATTTGTTAGGAAATAACGAAAATTTTGTAGGGTTTGCTGGAAGAATATACTTCAGCAACATGTTGCTATGTGACACGTTGAATGTTAATTTTTATGTCTTCAAAATGGTATATTCTAGCATAGTATAACTGTCGATAATTATATTTAAAATTATATCGCGTTGTTTATATGAATAGATATATTTCTTATGTATTTTTCATTATATATTTTGTGACGTAAATATTATCTTTTCATTGAATTATAGAATTTTTTAGTTTGTGTTTTTGGTCTGATGAAAATACGCGAGTATAATTTTTCAGTGCATAAAATGCAATTTGTCATTGCTGGAAATAAGGTTTCTTCTGTTATCGACGTTTCTGTTATCGACATTTTTGTCTGTTATTATAATATAGTAACTGAAACGACCGAAGAGGAGTGTATCATCCGAGGATAACTTGCGAAGATAAAAATAGTCATTCTCGTACTCGGCTATATCGTCTCGACAAAATTTATATCAACAAAAAATAAAAAAAAATGTATTTTGTACAATTAATTATCAATATGTGTAAAATCAATTTTTTTTTTCCAGATTACCTGGTCAGTAAGTATCAAGCTATTTCCTTAGAATATACAGATGGCGCTAGGTGAGGCTTAGTTAGATGCTGCGCTCTAGTGTCGATTCGCAATACTAATAACGCTCTTCTCAACTGATCTATAGCGCCTACATTTTACAATGCCTTTGCCACATATAAAAACATGTCCGTATAGATATGACAAATTCTCTTATGATCTAAAATTACAAATTGGGTTAGGTTGCTAAACTATGCGATACATTCCGACTAAATTTTTGCGCTTTATTTCGTAAGTAAGAATTTGATCTCCCGATTCCTTTCGACAAGCGCGTGCGTTTTTTTCCACATCCCACAGAGACACCGAAATCCGTTTCGATATTTCTTTTTAATCGAAATTAAATATTATCTCCGAAGACCAAGGAGAAAATATTCGGTGATCATCGGGGGGAAGAAGGGATGGCAAAAGTTCCGCCACAGTTACTTTTTACGCGATTTATATAACAAAGTTGTGCATTCGCGTTTATAAATGCCCGCGACGGAAGTTTCCGTCTAATCCGCACGTATTTTATGCGACGCGCGAAGAAATTACTTCTCGATGACAAAAGCGACGCGGATCGAACCTCAACGTATTTATATGACAGCCGGTAGCTTCGTTGCGCGGATTGCCATGTACGAGCTTATGCTAATGTCTGCGACGTGTGCGCGAGCGCGCTTTAAGCGATAATTTCGCCGCGTATGCATAAATATCGAGTGGCTGCCAAGGATCAACAGGTGGCGGCTCGTTTCTGCTTCTTCGCTCTCCCGTATTCGCACTCGCGCGGTATAACTTAAGTTTCACGCGCATACGTCAGCGGCGCCCATTAGCCGGCGGCAATAACAATCGGCATTTTCCAAATGTAACCGCCCGAGCTTTCGCGTACTTCT